GGCGAGGCAGGCTGGGGAGCCAGAGCAAGGGTGGGGCAGTGGCAAAGGCAGGGAGCCGGGATGCTGCATTCCCAGCTGACTGGTGGTCAGGAATGGAGTCGGTCCTTGCTCCGTACCCCGCTTCTCCACCTCCACCTCCAGCCCAGGCCCTCCGGGGAGGGGAGGGGATTGTTGGTGGCTGATGCTGGAGCAGGAGGCGTGGGGGGGGCTGATGCCCACTGTGGGTGTGTCTGTACCAGTGCCTCAGCCCGGGGATTCAGCAGTGAAGGCCCTGCTGGGGAAGGCCTGCCTCAGCCCCTCCCCTTCTGCCTGAAGTCACACCCCTTCCCCTCAACAATCTTCCCCACCCCCCAGCTGAGGGCTGGGGCTGCCATGTGGTGTGGCACCAGCTTCCCTGGGGAACCATGCGGTGCGGCCTCAGCCTTCCACCACGTGGCATAGCCCTGGTGTGCCCTGGCCATGGGGGAGCCAGACTGGCGCATGGCCTGGCCCCTGTCTTCCCCCACGCGGCACCACCCAAGCCTTCCCCAGCCACCATGGAGCTGCACGGCACGGCCCCACCCCCTCCCGGGCGGCTGGGCAGAGTAGGCCGTGTTGGGAAGGCAATGCCTAGTTTGCCTAGGCTCACAGGCCGCCCCGGCATGGTGCCCACAGCCTGAGTACTCTCGGCAGATCTGGTCACCCCAACTTAAAAAAAAAAAATCTATTGGGTTTGGAAAAGGCCCAGAAAGGGCAAGAGATGATTAGGGGTGAGGCTCAGAGCTCCATAAGAGAAGAGAGTAACACAGCTGGGACTCTCCATCTCGGAGAGGGAATGACTAACGGGTAGGGGGATGTTAGAGGTCTAGAAAACACGCCTGTTGTGGAAACGCTATTCATCCCCTCACTGCCGTAACCCAGCAAGCCGACCCAGTTCACTGGACAGGCGGCAGGTCTAAAACCAACACAATCAGTTCCTGTTTCGCAATCGGCTTGTGGAGCGCTTTGCCTGAAGAGGGGGGACGGTCCAAACCGTAACGGGGTTGCAATAAGAACAAAGTAAGTTCCAGGAGGATGGGTCCATCCGTGGCTACTAGCCAGGGTGGGCAGGAATGGTGCCCTGGCCTCTGCTTGCCAGAAGCCGGCAATGGGATGGATCATGACGATTGCCTGTTCTGTTTGTTCCTCCTGAAGCACCTGGCACTGGCCACTGACCGCAGACCGACCGCTGGTCTGACCGGGCTGGCTGTTCTGGTGTACTTCCATAGAGCTGAAATGTGTCTGCCCCCTTGGTGTAGCCCTAGACCCCTCCCCCCAGAGCTGAGAGAGCCCGGCCGGGGTCTCTCTCCCCACAGAGTAGTGACGAGGTGAGATACGATATTTAAAACTAGCCAGTGCCCCTCAGGGACGTGCCACACGATGTCCATGTTGATTCTCCCCTTGGATACGGGAAGGGGGTACAGTGCGCCTGTCCGCTAACAGCGAAGTCGTCTGGTTTAAAAAAGCCGAGTTTTCTCGTGCCGGAGTAGCTCCTCGATAGCGATTGGGGGGGTCTGGGGGGGAGCGGGTTGGTGTTCCCTCCCTCCCCAGCTAGTGTTTGGCTCGTACCGAGCATGCTCAGTAACACTGAAGCCTCTGTCCTCAGTCTGCCCCTACCCCCCGCCCCCCATTGTGGCAGGCACAGGTCGCTCCCCAAAATCTGAAATGGCGCCCCGGGGAGCAGTCCCACTCCTGGCTCTTCTCTGCCCTGTCAGGAGCCCCCTCTCTTCTGTCATTGAGTTCCCCGCGCTGAGACAGCCTGACCCCACGGGGACCCTCCGCGTAGGGGCGTCCTCACAGGCTGGGCCTCTGCCCGTCCCCCGCTGGGCCTGGGAGCTCGCTATCTGGGACCTGCCCGGCGGCTGGAGGGCTCTGGCAGTGCAGGACGGTGCATGGCAGACCTGTGCCCTGCCACGGGGGGGGCTGCTCCCTTCCCACACAGGCACCTGCATTTCCCTGCTCCCAGCCGTGGCCGTTCGCTCTTCAAGCGCTGAGGGGCTAACCCTGCCGCGAACACCAAGTCTCCTGCCTCTCGCCCCCCCAGCCCGACCCTGCCTGGGGAAGCCAGGCCTCTTCCCTCCCGCCCCGCCTGAGGCGCCCAACTGCCCCGTGTGAGCCCAGAGCCAGGGGAAAGGGGGCTTGGGTGCTCTGGGAGGGGGCAGCTGCCCTGTGGCTGGTGCCCCGGGCAGGCG